TGCTTTCATCTGGAGAAATTTCACTATCTTTTTTTATTTTTTGAATTTAGATAGATCCAAAACTTTTGAGGTGCATCATTTATAAAGTTGGTGAAGTGCAAGGATAGTACTAGTTTTTGGCTGCTTTTAATTTGAGACTTCATAGAACTAATGGCTTCCGTAAGGTTCTTTGTAATTATGACATTCGATGTTTGTTTTGAAGACTTTCTTGGGTGCTTTATTTTACGATTTACATGAATGTCTTGATTTATCCATGGATGAATTGTCTTTCCCTCTTTGTTTTAGTTGGTACATATTGAGAAATGCAATGCAGTACAATTTCTTTAAATTTCTGCTGCAACGTTTCCATATCATTGTCCGGATGACCGAGAAGCTGCTCAAATGAACTAAATTCATGTGCTAAGTGGTCCAGTATACTATGGTCATCTGCATTACTGAAGTCGAGATAAGGCACAATTGAGTTTGAATGCCTGACACACTCACATAATGAAATCGAGCATGATACTATCTTGTGATCGGATATGCCATCTATTAGTTAGTTCAATGGTGGCCTTATCTGCGGGAACGTGGTCACTAATGAAAATTAGGTCAAGCACATTTGAAGAACGCCCCTGTACATATGTGGGCTCTTTAACAATTCAAAAGAGATTAAATGTCAGCATAGTAGTATCAATAATAATGTCGGACGAAGGTGATTGATGGTTCATGGTGAGGCATCGATATCAGGAAGGTTAAAATCACCGACCAGTGTGAGTCTACCTTCAAAAACGTGAAGGTGCAGGTATTGATACAGGGAATGCATTGCTTCTAAGGGTCATGAGGGACTGCGATAAATGCAACCTATTATCGTTGGACAGGCGGTTAAGTGGATTTTACAGAATACCGCTTCCACTCTTTCGACATCGGAGAGTGCCGTAAAGGTGATATATTTTCTTAATAGAATGGCCACACCTCCCCCACCTGTAGTTCTGTCGTATGTAAGATGACATAGTTTGGCGGCATTTTCTCAAGGTCCCTGACATAACTTCACAGCCACGTTTTGGTGATAGCGACAAGGTCCGGATCTGTGCTGAGTAAAAATAATTCTAGGCAGGTCATCTTTAGAATAATGCTGCGAACGTTTGTTTGCAAACTTTACTTTGTGCGTTTCTGGGTGTCGCGTGGTCGCAAAGTGTGAGTTGGGTTTTTTCATTTTTTTGCTGAGGGTTGGGCTTAATACGCCAGATGCAGTTTGCATCCTCATTTCATCCAAATACTTCATTGTTGATTTTCGATGTGTCAAACACGAGATTTACCTTTTCACCTGTCATTTGCTTTGCTTTAGCTGTTTGCCAGTTTCTTTCTGATGTCACGCGCTCGGGGAAAAAAATCTCCCACCACGATCTTTGATCTCTTTAATTTATAGCAATTCTTCAGAATAGCAGTGTTTTTCCAGAAATCTAGAAGCTTTAGTATTATCGGCCGTGAAGCACTGCACAACTTTAATGTTATCGGTCGTTAATGCACTGCATGTGTTCATCGATTCGCCAGTCATACCTTGCACTCAGAACACACAAGTAGTATGAAAGTGTCAGCCAGTGAAAGATTTTATAATTCTACGGTGACGCCGGCTGAAAGCACAGATTCGCCTAGTGACAGTCAAGGCATGTCGCAGTTAGACTGAGTCGAAAGCCATGCTTTTTGCGCCGTTCACGTCTCTTTGCATCGCGACGGTATGCCATTACAATTGTACTAAACGTGCGCGGTGCGTGCATCCGCATGTGAGTCGTAATATATATTTTATTATGGGCATACAGCCTGTGAAAGAGTATGGCAATGATTTGGTGTCGCATACTACAGGCATACTGCACGCAAATCACTACGATAAAGCAGAGCAGGTTGCGTCGCGCTTGAAAAAACACAATAGTATACTTACTCGTACACTTTTTTGGGCTTGCTGTTTTTCCTGCTGATTACGATTATCGACTGGTGGCAAAGCTTAGCGCTTTTCGTTGTGGATGGGAATCTGTGCAATCCGAAAACACCGTACGGGCACGATTCCCACATCGTGTTGTGATCTTGTCAGACAGTGCTAAGTAATGTCGTCCTCTTGCTCTGATTGTTTTCGCATCCAAAGATGATGCAGTGGTGCCCAGACGTCATTTTGTAGGTGGTAGCGACGTGAATAGGCACTTTCCCATATTTTAAAGTCCCAGAGAAGCTGCTTGCTGGGTTAACTGGGTGCCACAGACACACGTTTTATCAATTCACGTGTCTTGGTGTGAGTGTATGTGCTGGCAACCTAAGCACCTTGGTGCAAGACCTCCCTGCCTTCCTGTTTTTCTCGTTTCTCTCTCTCTCTTTTATGCTCTCTCATTTCTTTAGAACTTCAAATAGTTTCTTCTTGACAGCTCCATCCTCTTGCTTTCTCATATTTTATGTTTTTTATAAAGATTTTATAAATACAAGGTTCTGATTAGTTTTTGGTATGGTTTTGTCTTGTTGCATTATGTCCAATAGAAGTTCTGTCAAGCAGTTGCATCAGGAGTATGCTGTAGAGGGGAAGTATAACTGCAAGAAGTCATGATTAGTCTGTTATTCGGAAAAGTATGGGCTGTACATATATAGTGGACCATTAGCCATATTTGTATGTTGTGATTTGAAAGGTGTATTGACACAAATTTTCGAAGTTGAGTTTCCTCTGATATACAAACCTCCTGTATACAGAGGTGGCTGTGAGCAAGTGGGAAGTTAATTAAATGCTCATAAGATATTTTATTTTGATATTAAGTCTATTTTTCCTTTGCACACTCAACTGACATCGACACTTATGACATCAGGCTACAGTGTTGATTCCAGTGACTTCCATGCACCAGATGACAAGTAATGATTATGTCAGGTACCAAAACATTCAGAACCTTCAAAATACTTCATTATAGTGGTAATTTTATTGTAAATGTTGCACCCTGTTACGCTCACAATATAAACTGGATTCAAGGAACCATTCATTATAGAGGTAATTTTGTTGTAGACAGTAAACTGTACCTGGCCTTGTGTGGTTGAGTATATCGGTGATCTTTGTGTTATTCTTTTACAAGTAACGTTCGAATAGTACTGTGTGCCAATGTACTACATTCTGCTGCACATTTTAGAAATGTTCATTTTGAAAATGACATTGTGCTCACTAATTCTGTAGTAAAAGTCAGTATATACTGCAACATAACTTTATCAACCATCATGGCATGTGTTGGGTTTTATGCTGATCTTATAATAATGGGTATGTCGCTACGAAATTTATTTCTTTATACTGCAGTGTCATGAATTTTGTGGGGTTCGTTGAAGGTGTGTTTTGCATTCTTTTCACCCCAATTAAGTTTTTATGTTGTTCTTTAAAAGGTACTCCAGCATTTTTTCAATATTCACCAATTTAAATAAAACTTTGAACGTGTATTTTTGTTGGTACCGTGGTGATATGTGCCAAATTATACAAGCGTAAGTCGTTCAGTTTTTTTAGAAAGCCAATTTTAATATCAGTAGCCGATTCTGGAATCACACTTGTAAATGCGGGACACCCTGTGTAGTTACGTAAGGGCCTACTCTTTTTCGAAAACCCCGCCTTTCCCAGCAGACAGATGCAGCGTGCGCTTTCTTTTACAAGGCGACGACAATGCGAGCACAGTTCAGATTTGTCAGGAGCATACAGCTTGTGAGTCGTCGTCGACATCAGGTTTTACAATATTGAGCAACGAGTAAATCGATTCGGGGCATGTGAGATGCTTCATGTGCCAGCGAGTCGAAGTCAAAAAGCGATGCTTTCGTGCTCAGATAGTAGCTGCAATCTCTCAACTTGTCACTGGTAAGTTCAGACGAGCTGGCACAGCTCGATTCCACGTCGGATGACATCGCCAACTTGCTCTTTGCTCGTCAGAATAGGCATGTGAGCTATTTTACCCTGACCAGCCGCGACAGGGTGTAGCGGATCTTGTGACGTCATCGGCGACGGATTCTCATGACGTCATCCGATACCCACCATGGATGGCGGCGCAGCTCCCTGTCTCGGTTTCTGTTTTGACTCGTGGTTTATTGCTTAATTCAAATTATTGACAAGTGTCGGGACAAAATGAACCACCCTAGTTTTTGCAGGACTGTCAATACTATTTGAAAACAGCATAATCTCAGTATGGTCGAAAATGCACCAGAGTTCCCCTTTAAACAAGCACGGACATTAAATTTTGAATTTTTTTTTTGTAGCAATAAGTTGTTAACAACCCTCTTATCACGGCTGGAAAAGCTTGTTAACTCAAGACCACAAATATAAATTATTTGGAAATTGTTTTATACGGCCCAGTCACAGTTTTAGTGTCTGAGAGAGCAGTGAGGCCGGACACACAGTGCATTTGATGTAAACATAGCTAGCTATGTCAGCACGATAACTGTCACTTTGACAGCTCTTTTCAATGAAGGCTCCTTCCGAGACTTAAATCCGCATGACACCCCAAAAATTCACAGCTGAGACAATAGCATTAGCCTTTGTACATCCATGAAAGCCTGCCCCTCTTTCCATTGAAAAGATCATCTAGGAAAGAGCACTGCTCGCAAAGATTGCATCATGACAGACAATAGAAACTCATGATGTGCGTGGCATTTGGTTGTATACAAGAAAACTGAAGGCATATTTCGCTTGCGGTGCCGCGACATGCACTTCGAAATAGATTTTAAATACGTTTTAGGCTATATTATTCGTTGATATTTCATAGATGTGTAAATGTCCGCACAAATCTATCCCACAAGTTATCTCCTCTCCAGAAATTATCATCAGAGCTCCTTTAAAGAAAAATAAAAAAACTAATTGTTCACACTCTGTGGTGCTTTAGGAGACGAAAATGTAGCTATTTATGCTTTCTGGCTCTTCGTGCTCCATTGAACTTTAGATGAGTTCTGCTTGTCTTTTCAAAAGTGGAAATAAGGCAAGCTATTCTCATTGAATTATTTTCATTTTGCCTATTTTTGTCCATGTGCAGGCCTGACCTTGAAGCTATTTGGCAGCTACGGGAAGCAATATCACAAGAAGTGAAACGAGCAGACAGCATGCTATCCTCACATGAGATGGCAGCTTTGTTGTCTCAGCCTTGCACAGACTGTGTGAACTATACTCTGCTCAAGGAAAAGGTACTGGCTGTGCTTTTATACCATTTTTTGGTTTACTGTAACCAGAGTTATCGGTAACTATTTTGACATGCCACTTTTGCAGTTGTCTGAGCTCCTGATCCTGCAAAAAGATTTATGTTCTCGGATTTCACGTATTCTTCAACAAGGTAAGCATCGTAATATTGAGCGCTTACCTCATTTACTCTAATGTAATGCGAGTTTTTTTTTCCAAATTTTTGCTACCTTAAGCACACCCTCATGTTTGCAATCGAATACTGAAATTCAAGTTATCTAAAAAGTGCAATGATGCACTCAATTATTTTATTTTTGTTTTACTATTTCTTTTTTTTCCCGAGTGCAATGAAAAATCACTCCCTTATGTTAGAGAATCCTGGTTGCGTTACAATAGAGTAATTACGGTAGTTTTTGAACGATTGAGGTGTTTAAAAAATTTGAGGTGAGCGTCGGAACATGTGCCTCCACACCCCCACGTAACATAAACTATGTGCCATCAATATTAGTCTGTGTGTTATCTCTTACACTGTGCTTTTATATGCGAAAAACATCCTACCTTGTACGCTTTCCTTCTCCTCTCTTTCCAATCCCTCTCCCGGCAGTGGCACGCACTCGCGGGCTGCCGCAGCTCAGTATACGAAGGATAAACAACCATACTGCACGAACGTCTTGTCTTGCAGTCAGTCAATCCGCCGCATGCCCTCTGTAAACTTAAGCTCCTTTTAGAGTGGAGGCAGCAGCACTTTTTACAGGTGCAGAAGACATATACTTTGTCCTTTCTTGCTATTTTGCTTGAGTTTGTGATATCAAGTGTGCTTGGGTTTGTTGTGTCTAGTTTTCTAGCACACCACTTGGAAGCCTTGTTTAAAGGCTTAATATTTGGCTTGCGGGAAATCTCTCCTATTCTGCATGATTTTATGTTTCCAAAGGGCATCATAGTGAGTATTTAGGTACAGTAAACTTACTAAGACAGGGGAAGTGAGCGATTCTTCATATAAATTTTGTTATATCTCCTCCCCCTTTCTTTTCCCTTTCTGCACTTTTCAGGGGGTGATTAAAGCTCCGAAGGGCACCCAACATGGTTTCTGCATTGGTTCATTTTGTCGCCTTTCATTATTTAGTGCAACCTAAGAGAGCAGGTATTCCATCTCTCTGCTTGTTTAGCCTTTTAGCAAGTTTTTCAAATTTTCACGGATTAGTGGCATAAGCAACTTCTGTGTTATTGTAATGAAGCTGCCCACAGTGTCTGTCTCGGCCTAGTCACTTTGTACGACTTACTACTATTCCGTTGTGTCCAGAGGCATCTCAGTTGCATGCTGCTTAAAATTTTAAATCATTTTAGTGTGATTACATCTGCACCTTTCATGTGGTTTGGGCTAGTCAGTATTTCTGCACATGTGTGCAAGCTTAGAGATTGCATAGTGTCCAAGCATCAGGGTGCATTTGTTAATGGACCACTATATTTTAACATTTTGATAACATTTCATATCAGCAGGTGTGATCCAATGAGACCAGCCACAACACTAGCACTTTGCATGTTGCCGTAAAGCATGATATTTTTCACTACAGATATTTATGCTTCCAATATTTATATTTGTTATGTGCACAACATGCTGTGGCTGTTATATAATAGGAATGAGCCCATCACTTAATTCAAGTACCTTGGTGTGTCACAGGCTTACATTGTAACTATTCCCAGTGTATTATACTACCATAGTTCAGCTGTGGTGTGAAAGTCAGAGAAGTATATATGAGAAGCATTGCTGCAGTGCTTGATGCAAGCACAAGTTTGTAGCACTCATGGGACAGTTTTAGGGAGGGCAGTGTCTTCTTGCTAATAATAAGGCTGTCTTTGGGTTTGACATTTAGAAGACAGGGTGTACTGCTAGTGCCGAATTCATATACAGGGGAGGGGAGAGGAGTCAGAAGTTCGCAGAGCACTATCCCATGTTTCTATGGAAGCGTGGCCTGCAAACTTCTGACCAGCAGTGTACATGGTTTTCTTATTGTTGTATTTGTGTAAAATTCCTACGAGTAGTACTGTTTTTAAGGATGTTTGTTATATTTTGTGTATAAAACTGAATTTGATGTCTAAATGTAAATGAAGTTTGGCTTGGTTGCAAGGTTTAGAAAAGGCTGTGTTTTACTGTCACTACTAGAAGTTTGTTTTACAGTGTTGCGTTTAGTTGCACCTGCCATGTAAAAGTAGATATCACTAGCTGCTGTGAGGTTTTATGCTTCAAGTTTCATATGTTTGGCTTTTGTAGAGGCAAGAACCGAACTTTTTTGTGGTTAAATTAGGCACTTTTTTTTGTACTTGCCAGTCTTATTAAGCAAGTGAGCATATCTCGTGCAGGACTTGAGAACAATACCGACTGTCAGGTAACCTTTGATGCTTTGCTTTGCCCTCTTCCACACATGAAAATTTTATTTGTACAGAAACGTGCATGCATAATTTACTGCCATGTGATGAAGCACAGATGTTGTTTACATTGAATAAAATGTGTTAGTTTGTGTAAGTTTTGTTATCTTTTTACACCAAAAAACAAGTTTTTTTTTTTTTGAATTTTCACACATACACATTCACAGTCATTAGGTGAGTAGCATAGGTCGTTAGGATTTTTGATGAGTTGATCTGAGGCACAGAGCTACACATTGGAATCAAGGAACCAGTACGAAAGTAAAGTGACTTTATTCAACATAAAAATGCACATGACCAATTGAAAGACAGTGATTTAAGCCTTCAGGGACACAACTCTACCTTTTCAACACACAATTTGCTGCAGAGAATGTAGACCCATCAAGCATATTTCGCAAGACATAGAAATATGAACGCAATACTTTTTTTTTTCTTTCTGGAGCATGGCAAGAGCGCAGAACATCAGAAGCGTAACTTTTACATCACACATTGCACAACAGAATGAATGAAGCCTGTGTTTTGATTCTAAGATGAGTTTCGTCGCACCTGCCATGTGAAGACTACAGGCTTTGATATCACAAACTGATCACCAGTAACCAGTGGCTGCTGACTCTACCTGGCAGAACAGCAGCAACACAAGAAAGTCGATGCTTGAAGTATGACACAGTGTTTTGTACATTAGTGCATATCCCACTGTGCTTGCAGCTTCTGCAAGGGCAACTTGTGCACATACCATCCAGGTGACATGCACTTATGAGGCTTCCATTTATCTTGCCACTTTCATTGTGGGCTTCTTCCTTGAGCAGGCAATGGGGGAACAGGAATTGGTCAGATCAGCTGCATTTGTGGGGGCTGCTGTCACTTGTGATGTCGGTGTGTAGTCATAAATGCTGCATGGACCAAATTTGGTGAATAGGAAAAAAAAAAGTATAATCCTATTAGCAGCTTGTCCTCTAATTAGTGTCACTTTCAGGAATGCTGTAGGTGCACTACAGGCTTCATAAGCATATCCACAAGGATATTTCAATCTGTTCACATTTTCAATATTGAGTTGCATTATGGGTATTACACAGCTGAAAGCAGATTTGAGATATCAGTTGTATTGAGGCACTGATTTTGTTAAGTGTGCTATCAGTAATGCTCAGTGAATGACACATTCTCAGATGAAACTTTGGTGTCAGTCTTTCTCGTACATATTTACCCAATATATATACTTAAATGCGTAGTAAGGACTGACTCACCTCTTATAGCTGATGAGTGGGTTTGTACAAATGCTAAATTTGCATGCTAACTACAGTGCAGCAGCCAATGTTCTCACCATAAAGCACGCATGCTGAGGTTGCATGTTTTGTGTAATGTTTCTTTAAACATGATTTTAGTGCCTGTTACGCATAAATATGCTGGAACCCAGTCTTGCTTGGAAGCTAATGGTCTCAATAGTAAAGAACATTTATATTTACCACAGAAGAAAAGCCACAATCAAGGCAGAATTGAGCATGTGAAACAATGTTTCAATAAAAATACTGGGAGGCGTTGTGGTGTCTTAAAGGGCTTAATCATTCGTCATTATTTTCTTTTAAACCTCAACCTGAAGAAGATTTGCTCTGATATCATAGCGACTGCCATTTCCAGGTACTATTAGTAGAGCAATATACTGCACATGCATCTAGTGTTCCTGCTGGAAACTGTGCAGGTGTAGAGCAGGCTGTAAGGGGTAACTGGAAAGGCGTCGATGACATCTAGTGCTAGGGTCTTTTCATTGGGCATTTTTAAGGGCAAAGTGTGTACTCTGTTCAAACAAGGAGCTGGGAGTTGTCCTTGCCGAGCACTGAGAACTGCATCCGGAAGTGGTCCTATTTGTGATCTTTGTGATTTGTGATTTGTGATGTAGCGGCAGCGACAGTCTTGAGGATGAGAGCTACGCATGCCATTTGGGAAAGCTCTCCCCACAAGCTTGTAGGAAGATAAATGCCTTCAAGAACACGTCTTGCAAAAGTTTCTTGGTTGCGCAGGCATGTCTATGCAGTTGTCACTTTAAAGTTGGCAGCACAAGGTCCTGTGAGAGTATCTCGCCAGAGGGCAACCACATGCATGCCTCGTCAGCATGATTACTGATCGGCAGCCGGTAGACGAAATGCTATGGCACTGATGCAAAGCATTAACGAACTTGGCCTCAGACATTCCACGTGACTGAAAGGAACAAAACCCTTTGTTCATGCCTTTCAGCATTTTCTTTTTGGTGCCAGCATTTTCCTGTCAACAGAAGTGACATGAAATAAGCTAGTTTCAGTATTTACCACTATGGTAATCAACGTACCTCATTGATACAAAATAATTTTGTTACTATAATTTCTGAGATGTGGTGGTTTTACATCAGTGTCTTGCTTGTTGTGCCACAGCTGAGTCAATTAAATTTTCTTTTTCATATACTGCAGCAATAACATTTGGACTCGTTCAAAAAGGAGCTCTTCTATTGCATTTTAGTAACAGGTCAGTTAGACTTCGATTTAACAAAGTTGTACTCTGACTAAAGCTTTCTGATATCGTACATCTGTAATTATCTTTTGACAGGTCATGAAATATATCATGTTTTATCACTTGCCAACACTTGCTAACATTATGTAAGTGAGCAAGAAGCATAATAAAGTATGGTTTGTGGCAAGGTGACTGCTTTGTCATGACTTGAAGCGTGCAGTCATGTGAGATTAAGACATAGAACAATGTTTCAGGCATTGAAAAAAAAAAAAAACTCTTGCCAGAGTGCTTCGGACACATAAAAAGGAACCCTGTTTACCCACTAGGCAGCTGTGTGCTATGTATGCTGATGTCACAAGTCCTAAAGAGCATATGTGGAGCCAAAAACCCTATTCTGTAGTATGCTAGAATGCTGTTGCCTCGATTATTCAGTTCTGAAAAGAGCAGCATCAGTAAAGGAATTTATAGCTATGGATGCTTATGTTGTTTTGTGCCTAGAGATGTCACTTACTAGTTCTTCTGCCCAACTTTTGTTGCCTAGCCTTTGATAAACTGCAACCAAATGCTGAACCTTAAAAAAGTAGCCTGCTGTCAATCTGACTGCAGAGTGCCCTGCTGGATGCAAATAGCGCAGTTGATGTCCAGGAAAATCTTGCAGAGTCTTTTTTTATTGCTAATATTCTAATGGACCAACGTACATAAAATGCCAGCCTTAAGAAATCGCTGTCCAAACTCTCCTTAAATCATGTGGCCATTGTCTTGCTTCACGCTGTTGTTTTTGTAATGGCCATAGTGACTGTTTAACTTTTTTGTGCTTTGCCTAAAATTCCGCATAATATTTCCATATGGCAATCGCTTTTTCATACCTTGGGCATAATAAAAATTCCTAGTGTCAATTCTTGAGACTACAAAGCTTTTTTTGTGTGGGATTCAGTATAAACACGTTATTTGGTGTGCTGTCTATAATACAAATCTGATAAAAAGAAACGAGTATTTAGATGATATGGTGCCTCAAGACCTAAGGTATTATGATGCAGCATTCTCTAGAAATACTTTGCCCAAATTTACTGGGCTAAAGGTGTATTAGTAGAAAAACTGTCTGGTTTTTTTTTATTTGGCACCTGTTAATGCAGTAATTTTTTTATGAAACGTCGATTTCTTGCAATGGCAACAAATAATCGTGTCATATTTTAATGTATCTAATGCAAACTCGTAATAAATGCAACTTGGCCTAGGGTATGAAAAAGTAAACTAATCTCACCAGAACCTTGTACTATGTTGGTCTAGAGGTAAAAGATATACAGGCGCACATGTATGAAAATGCATGAAGAGTTCATTAAGTTGAAACTGCCAGGGCAATTTGCCATGTCTAAAGTAATCATGCATATTTACAGTGTTCCAAAGGAACTTTAGGAAAATTGTTTGATGTTCCAGTGCACAATAGTTCACCAGCCTAGAAACCACTGCAACTCGCCGATACATGTTTGAATGTAGCTAAATGACTCACCATAGTAAGAGATGGTATATTGGTAAGTGTAGACTTATGTGTATTGTTTAGTAGAACAGTACAAAGACTGCACAAGGGGAATAGCAAGCATGCTCATTCTGTGTTGTAGTGTTCGCCAGTCGCTATGGTCCATCTTCTGCTTTTGTTCATTCAAATATGTGCCAGGGGTGCATTGACATCTTTGCTGGCCATGTTGGGATTTCGTTTTGTGCACTGCAAACTGTATATCATAACTATTATTCTTTTTAGTAATATTTCACAGTAAGCTAAGGATTGCATTAGCTTTCTGCTTGCATTAGCTTTCTAACCTAGGGCAAGCGCTGACTTGTATCTTTAGGCCATCCGATTCTACGAGGACTCGCAGGTCAAAATACCATTTAATATACATTATATTTCTGGGACTGCAATGGACCAGTCATTTTGTGGAAGGAGGCCTGGTAAGTTTTAGTTCTGAACTACAGGTTTGCCTTGATATAGGACATCTGGGGCACATTTGCTTGGGGCTAGTTAATTCCTTATCAAAGAAGGCGAAGTCAAGTGAATTAGCTACACATCAATGGGGTAATGAGCCAGTTCATGCTGCAACTTGATAATCAAATAAAAAAAATCGTGTCATTTTGTTTTTTCAAAAATTTTTTTGTGCCCAACATCTTTCTGACCTTGTGAGACTCTGTTGACACATCCTACTCATATGAAGCCATGTCTGTGAGGCTTGTAAAGCACCTGTTTGAGAAACTACTCCGGAGCACTCGTCTATCGATGAAGAGTGTCTTGTGTGCTCAAGATATTGGTTTTCCAAAGGAACTATAGCTTTTTATTATAGTCGTATAGCCATATAGCTTATATGGCTCATCAGTTGAAAAGTATGTTTGTGGCAGTGGGAATGGGAATGGTAGCAAAACTAATGCTAAATAGATGTAATGATGCCGAATTATGAGGAGTTAAGTTATAGTGCAAGTTCAAAGTGAATCAAAAGGGAATAATTTTACATTAAATAGAAAAAGTGTGAATCAATGTGCATTAAAGTTAATCAAGAGTAAATTATCTTAAAGTGACTTAAGGGTAAATCAAGTGACTTAGGCAACGAAAAATTAATCAAGCGACCTATGTGTGAATCT